AATAAAGTCAACATCTCACAGTCTTTACTGAGCTGTGTGGGGTTTGTTCAACTTTTAAAAGATGTTTGAATGGTGATATACACAGTGATAGATGTTAAGGACTAACGTTTATAATAAATACATTTGTATTGATTTTAAGATCTTTTCATAGTTCATACAATCATACGTATTGGGATCATTTGTATTAATGTGGACCGGAGGGAGAGGGTGACGAGCATAAGTTTCACTTTCCTTTTTTATTTCAATTCCAGCTTTGGTCATGAAGAATATGTTTCTCTGTTGTCCACGTTCATAAAGCATAAAGCAACAGCATCAGAGCACGGTGCAGAGTCTCTAGATGAGTTTACAGTAGTCCCTCGTTCTTATTGAACATCCATGTTGTAGTCCGCTGTATAGAGAACTGTAGTTTCCATAGTTTCCCCACAGCAGCAGACGCACATTCATGACGTCCGCTGGCGCATCATTCTTTCACACACACATACGGGTTTTGGGCCGAGGGCGACACCGTACTTCCGGTATCAACAATTTCACACGAGGTGCATACAGAATATCATAGTCGATTGCCTTAATCAATATAGTCAACTCTAAAATACCACATATATGCATTGGCATGATAATATTATTGTGACAAGTGGGGTATTCACCTGGTATTTCCAGAAGATAGACGTAGATGCAGCCAAAATCGACCGAAGGCCACTTTTGAGGGTCGTAATTCCATACATTGTACATCCAACAACCCACACAGCTCTAGTTTACGCTGGTAACGACCTAGAGCACACCCCTCAAGTCCAGAGATGTAATCCGAAGACATGCAGCGATTTCTTCGGTCGTTAATTCAGAAAAAAAACCTAGTGCGCTCTGCCTGACTACATAAGCTAGCTGTTTATATTAGCATTCCCAGGATTTTTGCACCTCCAGAAAAATGGCGTCTTTATAACAAAATATATGGCGCGCATTGCATTGTGGGTAGCTGTGACGTCACTGTGTGTGAAAGAATAAACACGTCGGATAGTGAAAGTGCAGTCGGATTCTCTAAAGTACCGCGGTCTCTTCTCCTAAGTCCTTTTGAATTCTCCTATTCACTATCCCTTAACCCCGTGACGTTTCACTCAGAGGTCAAGGAATAGGAGATAGGGTTTGAACATAGGAGCTGATTTTTGGATTATCGGAACGCAACCTCGGAGTCGGCTTCTTCTTCTCTCGGTTTTTTGGCAGATTGCAAACAACTTTAAGGTGCATACCGCCACCTCCGGAGTCGGCTTGACTCGGTTTGCATTTATAAAGCATGCACACATGTGTTTAATCGTTAATGTCAGATATGTACTAAGTAAATACATTTGTTCCTGCTCAAGATTAGATTCAACTTTATTGTTATTGCACATATTACAGGTACTGAGACAACGAAATGCAGTTTAGCTTCTAACCAGGAGTGCAACAAGCAGTGAAGTGAAAAGTAATGTACACAATCTACAGAATAAAATATAGAATTAATTGAATGATGAATAAACAGTGAGGGGTATGAATACACTAGATATACACAGCAGCCTGTGAGCAGTATGAACAGTGTGTATGAATATGCTAAGATATATTAAGTATGAAAACGGTAAGCAGTGCAAGTATAGTATAAAATATATAGATATTAATTTCATGATGATAAACATTGTGGAACAATGATGAAAAATGGGAATGGATGTGGCGACGTAAAACTGACACAAAACAACAACGAACTTTTGCCGAGCCAATTGGAGAGTTTCATCAGCAGCACGTGGAAAAAACCACCAATGAGCTCGAGATACCAGCATTTCGCTTCCGCAGCCCGTGGAGAGGAACTGCGCCGCCTCGCCGCGCCTCGCTCTCAGGCTGCGGACGTCTTTGGGTCCTTCTCACTTCGGTTAAATGGATTCCTTGCGTCGTTTCCCTGCGTCTAGTCCCTCCCACCAGGGAAGCATGGAGAGATGCAAGGAAACCACGAGAAGCAGGGAAATGAGTTTTAAGAGCAATGGGACCTCCTTTCCTCCGGAGCGTCACATGAAGCGACGTCCGTTTGTGATGACGCCGCACAGCTGATCGTCTGACAGCAGCTCTGTCCCCGTTATTTCCACACACCCCCCGCCTCTGTTAGTACACATTTACTGACACTAACATTTGTATCATCTGTTGTAGACCCAAATAAAAAAATAAAAATAAGAACTCATTCTCAAAAAAGATAAACGCCATTCTTAAAATGTATAAACGAACAATAGTTTGATTAATATTGATTAGAGTGCACAATAGAAATAAAATAATTGAGAGAAGAAAAAGAGATATTTTATCTATCAAAACCCAGTTAGATTAACATTCATTGGATTGCACACTTTGTGTGTTTGTGTGGATATGTAGCACATTAACATTTTAATAGCACTTAATGACTGACTGAATGGAAATGACAATAAATGAAAATGTAAAACGAAAAAAGCGATCATGAAAATGTTTCCAAAAAATGAATAAAATGATTTTTGACCACTTTGTTGTTCAGATATATCACATATTTGTAACTAAATGAAACAGGAATTGAAACAAAACACGGTATAAACTGAGGAGTGACTCCCGTGAGGTTCATGTGTTTTCTTCACTCCGCTGGGAAACTGCTCTCATGTCAAGAAGCATGAGATCAGTGCATGCGCTGCATCGTCCAATCAGTGAGCGATACACAGTAAGGGGGCGGGGCGAGTGTCTGAGGATTTCATCGGAGGATGGTCTGATGGTTCCTCGGTTATCGCTCCTCCATTATCGCTCCTCGATCCTCGGTCCTCCGGCAAAAATAAGGCCATTGGGACGCTACTCAAGATGGCGCAGACAAATCTACTTCCGGTGAGACCGAGGAGCGAGGAAATGAAAAATAAGAGAAGTGAGAAGGGCCCTTTGTCCCGCGAGATTTCAACGTCTCATGTAGGCGAGCCTCCAGAGCAAGTCGGACAAAATGACTAACCATCATGCAACGCACTAGCAAGACGGCGGTCGCAACTGCGCAGGTCTCGCTTGTCTCAAACAAGCCTACTAATTTCCCTGCTTCTCGTGGTTTCCTTGCATCTCTCCATGCTTCCCTGGTGGGAGGGACTAGACGCAGGGAAACGACGCAAGTGAGGGAAGCAAGGATTTCATTTAACCGACCTGAGACGGGGCCCATACCTCATCACTCCTCCGCTGCTCCGATACAAGTCCGGGGCCCTCTCTCATTTCATCAAATCCCCCTCCTCGACTCCCCGGTCCTCCGGTAGTGACCCAGAAATGAATTTTAGCGCGCCATGTTGAAGGACATCTAATTTCTCTCAATGCACTTCGAGGACCGAGGATCGAGGCTCTCTGGAGGAGCTATAACCGAGGATACACTGATGGGTCCTCCACGGTCCTCCACGGCTCCTTCGTGGATGCATTTCCGGGAACAGAGATGTTTCAAAGATCGTGACGCATGGCCGGACTTATCTCAGCCAATGACAGCTCTGCATGCATCCCCTGGATATTATTTTATTAACTGCTCTCATCGCAACGCGATGTTTACAGAGAGAACAGCTGTGAGGTCCGTGCAGAAAGCAGAGCAGTGTGTATAATATATATCACTCAGTATAAGGCCTACATTACTCTCTGTACTTGCTGTAGTTTCGTATATCTACAAACAAAGAGTCGATATTTTTCTAAAACCATTTAGTGGCCTGTAGCCTGATTATATGCTTTAGGTATAGGAGCTGTAGGTGCGTGTGGTACAGTGTGTAGGTGTGTGTGTTGTACAGTGCGTAGATGCAGCGGACAGACAGGTCTCAGTTGGTTTGGTGTCCTCTGCTTTTAATACTTGTAAATAAAACTTTTGGCCAGTAATTTATTTCCCTCATTGTAGCGACCAGAGAGGAGAGGATATATATCCAGTCTCTGATAGTGTTACGTTATTATGAGAGTGCTCTGTTTGATTCTGAAATGGTATATATTTATATAAATATGTGTGTGTGTGTGTGTGTATGTGTGTCCGCATCTGTAGCCTGTTATTGTCTCATTATACCGCACTGTGAATGAATTAAAAGTAAATATATAAGTCGTCATGAACACATCTGTCCATCAGACAAGAGGGCTGCTGTGCCTCCTGTCATCATTAATGGACGTCTCTTTAAAATGACCGCTCAGAGGAGAGGAGTTCTCATTTCTCTAACCGCCTGCTGCTTCCCCTCCTCTCTCCTCTGTTCCCCTCCTCGGCTTCTCCGCTCGCATCTCCTGTGGGCGGGACTAAGTATCGAGGATAGGAGTCGAGGAGGGGAGTTAGAGAAATGAGAAAGGGCCCGAACTGCAGTGGTTTGTTGATACATGTCGTCTTCTTCTGTTTGCTATAATCGAGGCTACGTAGTTATGCAGCGCCCCCATCGTCAGTAAATGGAAGTACTACAAATAATCCCTTTTAGTGCAATTATTTCACAAGTTTAGTTATACACAGCTCGGAAAAAATTACCGAGGTCAATGGTGGATACGGCCCTGAACTGTGCTCGACAAGAGAAATGTAACTGAACAGCCAGATATTCAAAAGAGGGAAATGATTCCATTGAAATGTTCTTAAAAAGAAAACTATTATTAAACAAAGTGGCAACTCCACCTCCTTTCCTGTGTGTTCTGTTCTCACCTATGGTTCTCACCCGTTCTCACCCATGGAACTGAAGTTCGGAGGGGCTGTTTCAATGAGAACAGCTCCACTGTTGTTGTCATCTAGCCAGGTTTCAGTTAAAACATAAAGTTAAGGCTGTGGTTGATAATACAATCATTCATTATAAGTGACTTGCCTGCCAGGGACCTGATATGAAGAACAGCCAGGTTCAATCAGCTTACTTGAGATGAGTCTGGACTTATGGAAACAGGTATGAGGTTCGCACAATTTCTGTGTGACAGTGTGCAGCTGTGTGTATCTCCAGCAGGGGGAGCCTCTCCCTCTCACCTCTGACAGCGATGCTTATTTTTTGTCCTCTCTACACTTCCGGGTTAGCGGATGTAAATAGAAGGACGTTCCGCCTGTGGAGCAGCAGCAGTCAGAAACATGACCAAACTGGAGCTGCTCAACGTGTTTCTGAACGACAGGCTGACCGCGGCCGCTGAGGAGATTTTCCGCGCCGTTAAGAACACGGTGGCGGAGTACCAGGGCGAGCTGCTGCGCTCCAGGGAGGAGAACGAGCGGCTGAAGCGGCTCCTGAATGTGGCTGTGCAGAGGCTCCTCCTGCAGCCCGGTGAGAAGCGCTGTCAGCCGGCATGTCAAACCTCCTTGGCTTCCCTCGATATGTTCTCTGCGGGGCTCCGCTCATAGGTGGTGCGGGTTGTTGGAGCTATCCCTGGGGCGCTTAGGCTCTGTAAAACATTAGCTACATGTTATGCTTTGTATTTCATTGACACTGATACTGAAAAATAAATAAAACTGATGCAGAAACCAAACAACAATAGCAAAAGGTGTGTGTGTGTTTTTATACCACGATAGAACTTACACAAACTGATCAGAACAAATATGGAGATTATATCTATATGTATTATTTGTACAATTATCTGTACATGCAATATACAAATAACACAATATCTTGTGTTCAGTACTGTCAGTCCTGCTCAACCCTTCATGCACATTTGTAAACAAAGCGACCTTTTTTAATATCTGCACAGCTTTCCACTTTTCATAACAATTCTGCACATATTTAATAAAAACATTCCGAGTATTTGATCATATTACTGCATGTAGTTTTTTGGTATAGCTTTTTTCATGTTATAATATTATCATTTTGAATAGTTTTTTTTCTTTTGTCGTTTTTCTTACAATTTATCTTTGACTGTGTTTATATATGCAAAGCAAATTCTTCATCTGTGTAAACCTACTTGGAAATACACCTGTTTCCTATTCTGATTTCTGACTACTAATCAGTACATCTTAGAGCATTCTGAATAAAGTATGAATACCTTGTACTTCGTCGTCAGCAGGGCAACCCTTCAAAAGTCACAGCACCGCAGTATGTTTATGCAAATACCCCGAGCATGACTGTGATTTTTGTAATCTTTCAGAACCTCACTCGGCGCAGCCCCCAGACGATGAGCAGCCCTGTGAGTCTGAGTGGATTAGCAGTGTGGAGCCTCTGCCACAAATCAAAGAAGAACCAAACCTGGGAAACTTTCAGACGGATTGTTGTTCACAAGAGGCAAGCGACTCTGAGGGAGGGAACTGTAGTCAGGAGGAACCTCTCCAGAGGACACATCCTCCAGCAACCCAAAGTGTGTGTAGCAGACAAAGTGTCTCCCCACCTCCACTAACATCCCAGGAAATGAAGGCAGAGAGGGAGAAAGAGGACAGCAGGACACAGCAGCCAGCCAACAGCTTACCCCCCCACAGGACTGTCCACTGCAGGGTGGCTCAGAGCCTTTCTGCAGCAAAGAGTCACCGGGCTGAGAGAGCAGAGCAGCAGGTGAGAGGGTTACTCCGCTCCAATGGAAAACAGAGCATGCACATAATGCAGATCAAGAATGTCAGATCCCTGAAGCCGCCCCCGCCCCGCTCCTCTCTCTCCAGCCAGAGCCTCCAGAGGTGGCACAGCTGTAAAGAGTGCGGGAAGGGCTTCAGCTTCGCCTGCCAGCTGGAGGTCCACATGCGCTGGCACACCAAGGAGAAGCCGTACAGCTGCGCAGTGTGCCGCAAGAGCTTCACCACGGTCAGCATGCTGAAGAGGCACCACCGCATCCACACCGGGGAGAAGCCCTTCCGCTGCCATGTCTGCGGGAAGTGCTTCAACCAGTCGGCGCACCTCAATACACACTTCAGGCTGCACACTAGGGAGAGGGCCGGCTGGAGCCGGGCCCCTCACTTAAAGTAAACAAAGACTCAATACAGAGAAAGGACCAGACTTCTGTAAACTTTAAGATGTTCCAACAGTGTAAAATTGTTTTAGCCATGAGCGTCACTTTGTTAGAAAAAGTGGTGGGGACACTTTTTTAAGATGGAAAAAAACCCCACTACTGCATTAAACCCCCACAGACAATACATACATACATACACCCTTATGATTACAATACTTTCTTTTACAACTAGTGCAGTAACTAGGCTGCTGCAAAGCGGAGCAGCGATTGCTTTACTATTCTCTATTCAATTATTACTGATATTAAACGTGTCGCAGGTCCAAACTGCACCACTTGGGTTCCCAGGAGCACACCCCCAGAAAGAGAGAACAGTCCTCCAGATTGTACATGTTCTCTTGTGCAAATAAAGCTTTCTCAAAGAGTACAATTCTTTTTGAGAACTATTTTCAGAACATTTCTAACAAATGATCCTAATGCACAGTGGTGGGGACAAAATTGGCCATTCCTAAAGTGGTGGGGACATGTCCCCAGTGTCCCTAGAATAAATTATGCCTATGGTTTGAACAACTTTAAAATGTTCCAACAGTGTTCAATAATTGTGTGACTGTGTGTCCTGTCTGATGTGCAATAAAGTGTGGTATTAAGATTTCCAATCCACTGCACTGGTCAGTATTTAAACTCTGTCTTAGTGATGTTCAAGTCACCAATCAGGTGCTCTTCAAGGAATGGGAAAAGGTCCAGTGAGAGAAAAACTAAAACGATGTCCAGCTGAAATGTAATGTCCTTGGTAGCGGTAGGCAGCATGAAATGGTAATCCTGAAATGACAAAATATCAACAAACCGTATACTTTAATCATCAAAAATATAATGTTGAAAATAATGAAATAGCTAATAAATATATTAAGTATGACAACAACCAGTATCAGATCAGGGGGGACAGAGCGTTATCCACAACAACCTCATGGTGCCATACAATGCACAAAATAATCAAAGTGTGAAAAACCAAGGACTTTGTTGTTGAACATTTTGACAACAATGATCAGAACCTGCCGGTTCATGGTGCAGTGTTCAGGAATCAGACAAGGAAGGAAACACGAGCAGAGGCAGGTTTGATATCGGTGAGTAAGGGAAATGAGAGCACCCACCATGTGAATTATATTTTTAAGTTGAACATCTTTGATAAAACTGCACATGTGAGAGCGATGATCCATGAATATGGATTACGGACTCATTAATATGGATTACAGACTCATTAATATGGATTACGGACTCATACCTCAATTCATTAATGAAGCAACACCAATCAGAAGTGAAAGCAGAGAAAAAGAGACCCATAGTGACTTCTACCTTCTCAATGGCTCGGAAAAGAAACACTTAGCTGCTGGAACTATGTCTATAGTATACACGCATTACTAACGGCAAACCCGGTACGTAAGAACTTACCCCCGTCTGGCAGATTGGACCGAAGGACCATGATCATCCTGGTCCTGCTACTTTCGGGAGACATTCAATTAAATCCAGGCCCGGTTTTGACGCGAACTCAAGCTAGAAGACTTGGTCTGGTTGCACAGTAGGCGCCCCACGGCTACATCCGCAGCGCGGACGGCGACTTTCCCCCGAGTAATTAAATTATGCTTCTATTTCAATGTTTTTTTTCCAAAAGGTCTATTTCGCAATTTTATAGAGATCGTACTAAGTGATGTGTCCCAACCTAAAATAATATCAATTCTCCATCTGTCAGTCTTCGAACGCCAGGGACCAAGCGGTAAGGCCACGCAGGAGTTGTTAAAGAAACTATTGTTTTTTTACACAAAAATGTATAATAACTAGGCCAATAAAAGAGGTCAACAGAAAATAACTAACAAATGACACAGCAACTAAACAGGTCATAACTGGAGAAACCGACCTGCCACTTCTTCTTTTCTTCATTTTCAAGTTTTACGGCGGTTGGCATCCAGCTCAATGTTGCATTACTGCCACCCAGAGCCATATAATAGAAGAGTTATGACATCTCCGTTCACTCCAATGGACCACTTTTTTACAGCAATGGCGGATCGTGGAGCCTCTCAATCGTTCCCCGGAAGTTAGCGCCAAGGCTAGCAGAGCTGTAGAGTTGCAGCATAATAGACCGTTCGTGACGGACTTTTAAAGGTAAGAAGAAGTTTAAAGATTTATATTGCGGATATTATCAGTACATCTGATTCAAATTAACATGTGTATTAAAGGATGTCAGTGGATTATCCCTAAATTAGTAGATTTAGGGAACGTTTACAGATAACAGATTAAGCTAGGATACCGAAGCAAGTTAGCAACACACGTTGAACAGCCTTTTAATTGTAAATTCCGTTCTCTTAATGTCTATTTGGTCCAACGTTGTTGAATTAGAGAAGAGGGGCTTCTAAACGGGATTGTATGCGGGGGTGGAGGGAGTTAAATATTAGATAAATATAATTTTGGTGCGTGTAAGAGTGAGTGTTTTTGCAGAGCCATATTGTGTCCTTGTGATTATGTTGATTATTACCTGTCTGTATAATAGTCCTTTGATAGTCACCTGTCGGTCTCCTGTCCTTTCTGAAAGCCATAAAGATGACATTAGTCATTTAGATAACTTGTGTCCTCAATTACCATGGTTACTGAAACTACCATGAATTTAAGAAAATGGTAGACATTAATCTAATCTGAATTGTAAAGCATTACTTTAGATCCCCTCCCTCTAAATATATCAATAAACATTAGAAAGTAATGCTCCTGACTACCATACAAGTTTAAGAAGATAATATTGGTTTTAAAGAATTCAAAGCTATAAATAAACAGCAACAGGCTCTTTAACCAAGGCACTGTTAGCCTAACATGTAAACTAGTTGTTCACACTAATCCTAATATTATCACTTAATATTAGCAAATTCTATTTTATTTTTAAAAACATATTGATGTAAATACATACACATATCGATTTGTTGTATAAATATTGCAAATCAAAACCTTTATTCACTAATAATTACCAAAAATCGTAGTTCTATCTCCTGTTATCAATGCATTCACATTGCCCGCCATGAACTTCCGGGGAACGATCCTCGTCTACATGAACCACGTGACGATAACCGTTTTTGGACTTCCGTTGTCGTAACTCTTCTATTATATGGCTCTGCTGCCACCTGTCTGAGAAACAGAGGAAAAGAGAAGTGTGAGCAGTGGGTGTTTCTCAATGTCGAGGAAGGCTGCTCCAGAGCCACTATTTCAAGCATACTAAATCATCGAGTGCCGATGAAGGCCTGTTCCAATGTCCAGCATACTTGGAATTCTACCGAGGCCGGCGTACTTCGTAGCGAGAAATTTCGAGGCTGCACATGTGTAGTCTCCGCGGTCTTAAAATCCCCACAATGCTTTGCGCACGGACCAATTTCCAAATCTTTGGCGGAAATCGCGCTCAATTTAAGGCGGGGCCTCGCTTATGATGCACACCTGCACACCTGTTAGCCTGTTCCACAATTCTTAATTTTCCGAGGCTAGGAAGGATTCTTGCCTCGCTTCTGAAGCAAGTGACTCGGAAGATGTGCTACCAAGCAAGCGTCCTTGACATTGAGAAACACCCAGATTACGGCGTGAAGTTGTTTGCGGCCTGCCAGTAAACCTAAAGCAGAAGAAGAAGTGACGTCAGCGGCTTAATTTGCCTAATCCTCCCTCAGGGATTTATTCCGGTGAACGCGATCTGCTAGGAGAGTTATGGGACTAAAGAGTTCGGTTGGACTATAGTATAAGTAGTTATATAAGTACTGGGAACTAAGTACAGCAAAGTAGGCCTACTTCAGGGACGTGCACAGACATTTGGAAGGGCTATTGCTCTAAACTGAAAAAGGGCCTCCCCTCCCGAAAAAAAACATAAGACCTTTTGAAAATTCTAACTTGTTATTAATGTAAAAGGTTAATGAAATAAAAACACAACACTCATTGCAAGTGACACTCAGTTGACTTTTATGTCCAACTGCTAAATTCGTTATTCAGCCTGTGTTCAGTTCAGCCTCTCAAATGTGCTCTGAACTGGAGGCTTGGGGTTAGCCTCCAACAGAACATGAACTTCACTCAGCACAGATACAGGCTTTGCATTTATCACTGATTTTTTTTATTAGTGTACTCCAATGTATGTAGTTGCTTTGCTTGACATAATCACAGTGCTTCACCTGAAGCTGCCCTGCTGGCACCTTTTATCCAGCTCTGCAAAGTTGCAGTCCTTTTAGCTGCCTCCTTCAGATCTCTCTCTCTCTGCTTCAGTCTCCTCTTGAAGGCATTCTTAAGCACAGAAATGTAACTTTAGGCTATGCATAAAATAACCAAACGATTATTACATTAACTAATTTGAACAGTAATTCACATCATCATCTCATAACAAAGTAAGCTAAGGCAACTACTTGCATTCAGTGACTTGATTTTTTAAATGAAAACCAGGGATATCTTTTGTTTTGCGGTCCATATCTCATTACAAATATCTAATGTTAGTAACTATTAAAGAAAGAATGGGGACAATTCTGTTTTAATGTAGTTTGACCATTGTAATTGCTGTGCAGACATACTGATAACATAGGGCTTCTAACTAATTACCTTAAATAAACTCACTTAATTCTCACTTAATTTCATTAATGAAACCAGTTCAATACGCATTATTCTTATTCTTATCATTCTTATTCTTATCATTCTTTATGAGCGCAGTAACGGTAAGGTATCTAATTACTTATTTATCTAGTATTCCATCACTTCATAACAGAGATGGTCAAACTGAAGTAGAGACATGGCAGAAATCCTACGATGAAGCGGGACAGTGAACTGTTCTCCGTGAGAGGGCGATCAAGAAAAGAGAGAGAGGGTGAGGGAGTTTACAGATGAAACGACACAGAAAGACAGAAGCACAATAACAAGTATATTTAGGTGTTTTTTTGTAAATAACCGACGGTGTCAAGAGGAAGATAAGTCCCCTGGTTTGTCCCCTATACTCTAACTGCCATGAGAAAACTCAAAATCAATTTTCCAAAATCCGACACGAGAGGTGGTCTTAAAAGCATATTTAAAAACGGGGACAGATTGACCCGGGGATTGGCCACCAAAGCCAGGCGGGCATTTGGTATGATCACCATAGCATATGAGGCCGGACTCGGAGGGCTTTCCTTTGCTTCTAGCCGTCAGATTGTAAACAAAGTCACGTGACTGGGGGCAGATGACAGCGCTGACTTCCGGTGTGTTTCCCGCAGCGAGACGCTCCAATACTAATTGTGGGCTTAGGCCTATCATGTTTATTCGGCCACAATAGAAAAGAAAAAAAAACCTCTCACTCTCTCCAGAGGGGCAGGTCAGACAAAAATGGCAACATTAGCCCGTACCAGAGCCATATAATAGAAGAGTTACGACAACGGAAGTCCAAAAACGGTTATCGTCACGTGGTTCATGTAGAAGAGGATCGTTCCCCGGAAGTTCATGGCGGGCAATGTGAATGCATTGATAACAGGAGATAGAACTACGATTTTTGGTAATTATTAGTGAATAAAGGTTTTGATTTGCAATATTTATACAACAAATCGATATGTGTATGTATTTACATCAATATGTTTTAAAAAATAAAATAGAATTTGCTAATATTAAGTGATAATATTAGGATTAGTGTGAACAAC